TGGAGGGAAGGAAAATGTGTAATACAGCGCTTGGTAGATCAGTGAGCAAACATGCTTTGTCTTAAACTTAGACCTTCGTAAGTAAGTGACAAATTTTTTAAAAGTCACCAAAGTTTTTTTAATAGTCATGTAGTCAGTGAAAATGGGTTTATCCCAGTTATAATAAAGGTATGATTTAGCAGTCTTAATGTGACTATCACATATAGTTTAAGTTGAAGGATGACTGGGGCCATAGCATTTGTAAATTTTTTATTCTGAAGATCAACTGTTTCATGCCTGTGTCACTTCTTTGCAAATGGGGACATTCAGGAAGGACTTGATGGACACCTATGCTCTTAGCATGCCAGGACCTATCATCCAAATCAAAAGCTCTCATCTAAAATAATCATGCATAAGCTTACTGTTTGTGCCATGGGTGCAAAGTAATTTGAAGATCAGTTTTGCAAGGGAAACATTAAACGTTCTGAAGGCTTGTCCTGATTTAACTGTTTCTGCCACATCGCATGTCTGGCGCAGAGAACAACAAGGTGGTAGTACCACTTGCACCTCTGATGCAGCCCCTTCTTTCTTAGGGAAGCTTAAAGCCTTTCATGAATCCCTCATCCACTTTCCTATTCCAGTTAGAGAACAATAACATCTATGAAGAAACCTCACTGAAAGAACTCTCAGGTTCACTGGGCCCTATGTCCTGGCGGTCCCACTTTATTTCCTTGGTAAGTTAACTCCCCATATCCAAAGAAGACCATTTCCTATCACTGTCCTTTTCTTAAAGTCTAACACCTGGAGCTAGTATTTTGGCACTGTGAGTTAAGCCACCATTTTCAATGTCCAATATCTTGGAGTAGGCATTTTCACAGTGGTTAACCCACCATTTAGAATATCTTAAACCATAATGAACAGCCTGGTCTAAGTTTCAGCTCCTTTTCATCCAATCTAACTTTCAGCTAATGCTCTTGGGAAAGCAGCAGATAATGACCCAAGGACTTGAGCCTCTGCCACTCATGTGGGAGATCTGGATGAAATTTGGGGCTCCTGGCCTGGGCCAGCTTCAGCTGTGAGGACCATTTGGGGAGTGAACCGGTGATTAAAAGATCTCTCTGTATGTGTGTGTGTATCTTTGTTTTTCCTTATTTCCCTCTGACTTTAAATAATTTTTTTAAAGTTGAGGAAAAAAAATACTAGTGACTCCTCACTGATACTCCTACTCAACCAACGATGTCAAGTTCAATTGAGACAATTGAGTTGATCTTGAGAACACATCCTTAGCTTCCCCACTAAATAAATCTACCACTTGTCCTGACTTTTAACACATACACTTCTCTTTTTTTTTTCCTTACAAGCTGTGGTTTAATTTTTTTTTTCACCTATCCAAGAATCTTGTTCCTGAATCCTTTTCTGTGTTTCTAATTTCCTTGATTTGTCTGAATTATTTCTGTTGGCATTCAAATGCTTCATTATTTTTCACAGTGGCACAAGAGAAAACATGCACACAAAAAAGATGGGGAGAAATGAACAGGGCAAGACAAACTGTAGGATAATACCACACATTTTCACATATGTGAAAATGGAGAGCTAGGAGGAAAGGAGAAAGAACATTAAAAAAATCATGCTTGAATAAAAAAGTGATATTTTTGTAAATTTGATGAAAATCATAAACTCAAAAATCTAAGAACTTAAACAATCCTAAGTATAATGTGGCAAAGAAAATAATTTTGAATATAAGATGAAAGTTGACAAAAATCAGTCCAAATACAAAATCTTAAAAGCAATCAGAGAAAAAGAGAAATTTGGGATGTGGTATTGCATGTACTCAGGGGTCGGGGGTACCTGGACTGTTAGTCCTGGCTGTCTTTCTTAGAAGTATGTTGACCTTGGGCAAGTTACTTAAGTTTCTGTCTCTTCTTTTTCTGATGAGTAAAAACGATAGTAATATCACCTCTCTCCTAGGGCTGTGATGATTAAACTGAGTTAACCTGCTGAAGTTCACCCCGACACTAAACACTCATTAACTATTATCTATTAGTGTTTCTCTAGATTAGATTTAACAGAGTAGTAATAAAACAAACAAACAAAAAACAGAAACAAAGAAAAAAAAACAACAAAAGAAAACCACTACTGTTTTCATGGGTAGATGCTGGGACTCCTCTATTTTTTCAGGCATGCTCGTGAGCACACACAGCTCTTGGAGGAGATAAAGTGGTCCTCAAAGCAAGGATGCAAGCTCCAGTCAAGGAAGAGATACAGAAAACCTGGGGGACAAGCTTTGTGATGCAGTGGTCCACTGTGTGTAGCCATTGGAACGCTGCACTGTAAATAATGTCTCCACAGTTCTAGATAACTCTTGGCACGTAATTGCAAGAGAGTTGGAGGGAGGAAGGAAGAAAGAAAAAAAAAATAAAGAAACCAGGGTAACAATTGTTGTCTACTCTTTTTAATTCTTATTTGTTTCTCTCCAAGCCTTCAGAAAAGTCTCGTCAGGTTCCATTTTCAACTCTCCTGTAAGCATGCTTAGAAGGGAGGGGCTCAAGAAGGGAGCAGCATGGAGTGATGCTGACTCAGTGCACTGTAGAAAAAAAGCCATTTATAGGGATCCTCAGGATTACATAAAATCATGGAAACTGGAATTGAAAAATAAATTGGCTTGGGTGAAGACATTTTGAGATAAATGCAGTTTTTTCATTGTTTGTATTTTTTTTTAAAGTTTATCAGTTTTTTATTGGAAAGGCAGATTTACAGAGAGAAGGAGATATAAAGAGAAAGATTTTTTATCCACTGTTTCACTCCCTAAGTGGCCCCAAGGGCTGGAGCTGAGCTGATGTAAGCCAGAAGCCAGGAGCTTTTGGGTCTTCATTGTGTGTATAGAATCCTGAGGCTTTGGGCCGTCCTCCACTGTTTTCTAAGACCATAAACAAGGAACTGGATGGGAAGTGTAGCAGCTGAACACAAACCAGCGCCATAAGAAATCCTTGTGCATGCAAGGCAAGGATTTAGCCACTAAGCCATTGTGGTGGGTCCCATTTTTTTTTTCATGAATTTTCTGAAGGGCCCTTGTATGCTCCCTGTGGAAGTGGGATTTGTATTGCTTGCACTTCAGTTTTAAAAGAAGAATGAGTTCTCAACCTTGACAAGTCTTGGAACAGATTGATTAGCACATGGCTTGCTACACAGAATCTCTATGTAATGGAAGTTTCTTATTTTCTATTTTTGACATTTGGTAAAGACTAAAATAAAGTGTGTTATTGTTGCCATATTCAAGCCATACCTGCCTTTGGCATACAATATGACTGTCCTTTTAGAACAAAATTTCCAGTTTGGATGTTGTGTCAATCTGCTGATTGTCACATGCAAGGCGACTCAGAGACCAGACAAGATAGCAGAGATCCTGGGCTTCTAACCAAGTCTTCTAGTGATATAATCCTACATTAGGTACTTGAAGCATCAAAGAGTCACTTTCTACTTCTGAAAAATGGGGATTAGTGTCTTAATTATCAATTGTCCAGGAAAAAGAGTACATCTTTTACATGACATTAAAAGAAAGTAAACTGGGCCCGGCAGTGTGGCCTAGTGGCTATAAGTCCTAGCCTTGAATGCTCCAGGATCCCATATGGACACCAGTTCTAGTCCCAGTAGCTCCACTTCCCATCCAGCTCCCTGCTTGTGGCCTGGGAAAGCAGTCAAGGACAGCCCAAAGCCTTGGGACCCTGCACCCACGTGGGAGACCTGGAAGAAGTTCCTGGCTCCTAGATCCGGATTGGCATAGCATCGGTTGTTGCGCACACTTGGGGAATGAATCATCGGAGGGAAGATCTTTCTCTCTGTCTCTCCTCTTCTCTGTATATCTGACTTTCCAATAAAAATAAATAAATCTTAAAAAAAAGAAAGTAAACTATATTGCTAATAAAAAGGTGAATATTCATAAAAAACAAAGTAAACAAATTTCAGTATATTTTCTCCTAAAGTTTTGACTCAGAAATCACTATTAATGGTAAATCATTGCAGAATTATGTCTCTAGAACATGTCTAACAAATGCTTATCTGAGGAAACCCTTGATTCTGAAAATTATCTTAGACCAACATAATTATTTTTCTCCACTTATATATTAAAATTTTGAAAATAGAAAATCTATGTTCTAAAAGGCATTACTTTTTAAAATCAGGCAGTATAGACAGTAGACAAAAATACTTCTTCAAATGTACATACTATCTTCTCACATAACAATATAATATATAGCATTATTGAATAATGTGAGGTTCCTTTCTGGGGTGGGTCTTATTGAAAACTCATCAAGAATTAATATAGGTAGCAAACAATATAAACTCACTTATAATTATTAGAAGGATGATGCGATATGAATCCTGACATCAGACAAAGTTGGTGAAAGATTCAGGAAACATCTGGAAAACATCCTTAGGACATCAAGCATGAGTCTCTCAAAAAGAAAAAATTGAAGTCTGTCTCTCACTTTAATAATGAAACAGCTGCTAGGGTCGTGGCCCCTCTTAGGGGTCTTCATTTACTGTAGGTATCTGGGACATTTTTTGTTTTGTTTGGGTGAATAAATATTTGAAAAGGGTAACTGAAGAAGGTTTTGCTGCTGTTATGATGTTATTGATATACAGGCTGATGCTATTATGGCGAATCCTATCAGGCTACATTATCTTTATGCCTCCAAGGTAACCTGAAGCATCTGCCTATTGACTTGGCACTACCTTATGCTGAAGCCTCTGTCCTGCCTGGGACCGTAACTTGATCCAACCATACGCCTCACAGACAGCTTTGTTAAGCCGCCAAACAGCAGTGAAGCACTAGCATGAAATCACCTTAGACTTGGGAAAGGGGGCTCTTGGAGAGGGTGGCCTTGCCAGTTCTTCAACTTTTCTTTGCGGACAGCCACTAGCAAGCCCTTCTCTTCAGGAAAGGCGGTTGTGATTTTAAGTGATCTAGACTCTTGGAAAATTTCCTTTTCCCTGGTGAGTTTTGCAATGTTTCACTGCAGGTCATGTCCACGTGGAAAGCAAGGCTCACTAAAAGACTAAAATCTCCATCTGGAAGGATGCATCCATTTCCATGCTCAGCTCTTCTGGCTTGCTTTGGAAATACAAGTGAGAATGCTCCCTTTGAACAGCCCAGCACAACTGATGCTCATTCTACAATCTATGCTCAGCCCATGGTGAAAGCAACAAAACACCAAAGTTACCCAGGAGTGGAAGAAGGAATTCCAAAGAAGAGGCAAGATTCCAGCATCCGTGCTGAAAGAAATGGCAGTACTAATAGGAATTCAAGCAACCACACCACCTTCCAGCCTGCTGAGGTACCTGAGCATCTGCCTGAGTCCCCAGACAATGAACCAGACTGTGAAGCAGTTACTTTTCAGACTTGTATCCCGAGACCATCAATTATTGACATGCCAAAGGTGAGTGAGTGTTTCTGACAGTTAATAGAGAAGCGATGGCATTGGAATACAGGTCTGGTCATTTGGAGAATCCTTCAGCAGGCAAACCTATTTAAACATATTACTGAGTTGGGCGTTTTGGGGAAATTTCACTAGCATGAAGGAATGTGCAAAACCTTTTATATCAGAAAGTCCTCATAAGGTGTGGAAAAAGGCATTGAGAATAGACATTTGAGTATACCAGTGACCAAAGCTGGACTTCAGTGAACAGGCTATGCTGTCTCAGATCTAACAAGGTTTCTGTAAAAGATTAGGAGTGATATAGTCTGAGAGAGCAATTGTTTTCTACTACTAATCTAAATATGCGAACATTCGTAAGACAAGAAATTTGATGATATAATTTAAGAAATTGCTTCTACTGAGAATGAATTAAATGATGGTAAGGCAATATGACAAAATTTGGAAGTGATCCTCAATGTAAGCATAGCAGTGAACAAAAGAAATGACTTACAGAATTTTCATAATATGAATGTTTCTGTTATAATTTCCTGACATTTAAAGTCAAAAAGAAAAACTTATTTGGAAAACATATGCTTATGAGGCAACATTTTAAATTACTTACCTGTAGATCTATAAGAGATCTTCAAAAGTCCATGGAAATGCATATGAAAAAACTGCATGGATTTCATTTTTGATTGCATTAAGAAAGGCATCATCTAATTCCATCTTTTATGAACTTTTTGAAAGTACCTTAATATTTTCTTTTTATTTCTTTTTGGCATTATTCAATTTTAATTATTTGAGACTCCACTTGGATTAAGCTGCACAATTATTTAAAAATTCTTGGTAATCCCGGTTGGACTGAAAGACTGGAGGAAGTATCTTTGGTCTAAAGGGTATTTTCTAAAGTTGTCCCTTCAGCATTGTTTTTATTATTTTTCTGGCCAAGTAGCAGAGAAATAAAAAACTTGGAAGTTTTTGGCAGGCCATTACTAAGACAATCTGATCTTAAAGACCATCTTATGCTACCTGCTAGAAGCAGTCATTTGGTGGGGAGTTAGAAAGTCTGCCTTGCTGCCTTGGCTCTAAGCAGCCTCATTTGCAATGAAACTGCAAAATAATGAAAATAGAGTTCAAATAAAAATTTTAAATAGCTTCATGTTACCTTCTTAGGTTTTATTTTAAATGATAGAAGATTAGCTTTGCTGTCTGCATCCTTCTGTTTTGAGATTGGACCCAGGGTTTCACCAAACCTTCTGTAATAGCAGTAATTGAAATGGTAATTTCAATTTTCCAGCATCAGTGAATCAAAACCCAAACCAACCAACAAACCCAAAACATTTGTTATATTTTCATTATCTATTCACACCTAGATTAGGATTTTTAAAAAATAATAGTGCAATATGCTGAATAAACTTCATGCCTAAATTTGTGGTTTTTTTGGATGTTCAAGGAACTAATTATAGCGTTCTGATAGGCTGATATTCTTTCTGTGGGATAGAGATTCCAATAACTCAAGGCACCCTATATTTCTGTTTATAGCAGGAGAAACAAAATTTGATTTTACCTTTTTGTTTTTGTGATATATTTGATTCAGGGACCCAAAATAAGCATTTATTCAAGTAAAAACAGCAAAACATAATGAGAACAGCATCTGTATTGTTCACTTGATATGAGTAAAGCCATGGATAGACTATAGACATGAGGTAGGCATTTAAGATAGAGGCAGCCCAAGTGCAAGCCTGAGTAACATTTTAAGAAAACCAGGAAAGAAGAGCATTTCAATAAAAGTACATTATATAACCAGAATTATGGATGGAGGAGAAATATATGCTGTATAGAATATGTCCATCAGATTGGCTGAAGATAAGGCTACAAGTTGAAGAGAGATCTGGAACAAGTTGAAAGGGTGGACTGGAACTGCCGGTTGGTTCTCAGCTGTAATGATAATAGGAATGCTCCGAGAATTTGAAGCAGAGGAGATTGTGCTTAGAATTTCATTTGCAATATAAAGAGGTGTAGTTTTATAGGGTAGATTAGGCTGGAATGTAGAGACCGTTATAATAATCCAGACCTGTAGGAGTCATAAAAGGAAAAGCTGGAAGATGAGATGGAAAGGGTTGAGAGGTGGAGACTGTGCAACAAAGGAAGCTGTTGACTGTGGGGTTCAAAATGAATGAAGAAGGAAATGAGGCTAGACTGAGAAGGAGAGTATTCTGCGGACAGAGAAAAATGAACATCTATTCTTATTTATTCATCAAGAGCTAGCCTTTACAGGGGTTTGTGGTTCTCTAGTCATTCACCCAAGTGCTTTTCTTGGAGTCTGTCTATCTATCTATCTATGTATCTATCACATCTGGATTCTGTTACAATAAAATACATATTCTTTTTTTTAATATTTATTTAATTTAAAGGCAGAGTTAGAGGAGGAAGGGAAGAAGGAAGGGAGGAGAAGAGAGAGAAACCTTCAACTTGCTGATTTACTCCTCATATTCCTAAACCAGCAGAGTGGGGCCAGACCAAAGCCAGGAGTCTAAAACTCCATTTGTATCTCCCATGTGGACTCAGGAGTTCAAGCACTTGAGTCATCATTTTCTGCTTCTCAGGATGCATGGGCAGGAGGTTGGGTCAGAAGAAGAGTTGCCAAAACTCCAACATGGAATAAAGCCACTGTGCCACCATACCCCTCCTCCCAAGCCCCTTTAGCGTTCCTTTCCATTGTATATCCAGATCCAGAATGTAACTTAAACTAGAATTTTTTTTTCTTTTTTTAAAAAGGATTTATTTATTTATTGGAAAGTCAGATATAAGGAGAGGAGAAGAGACAGAGAGGAAGATCTTCCCTCCGATGATTTACTCCCCAAGTGTGCGCAATGGCTGAAGCTATGCCAATCTGGATCTAGGAGCCAGGAACTTCTTCCAGGTCTCCCACGCGGGTGCAGGGTCCCAAGGCTTTGGGCTGTCCTTGACTGCTTTCCCAGGCCACAAGCAGGGAGCTGGATGGAAAGTGGAGCTACTGAGATTAGAACCAGCACCCATATATGGGATCCTGGCACGTTCAAGGTGAGGACTTTAGCCACTAGGCCACACTGCTGGGCCCTTTTTTTCTTTCTTTTTTACTTCTTCTTCTTATTATTATTATAATCATCATCACCATTTTTGATACAGGCCCTGGGATTTCCCTTACTCCCTCCCTAAGTTTCCCCCCACCCCACTGAGTTCCCCTATATTATTACTGTAGTATAGTTCTTCATAAGCAGTCGTATGTCCATCATTGCAAGCATGGACAATGGCGAAGTGTCCAGCATCTTGTTGTCAAGGTATATTTAATAGTTTCATTGGGAGTCCAACTTTGATCTGGAAGTAGAGATGCATACTACATTGTATCCTCACATCTGGATATGATAGTCTCCATTACACAGTTACCATATATCCCTTTAAATGAAAAGCCACAATACAAAATCAACAATAGGAAGAGAAATAGAAATTTTATATTGAAATTTTATTTATACTTTTATTACAATTTTTTTTGATGGTAAAATTTGTTCTACTTTGACCAAAACTTGATCCTTATCATTTAGGCAACTTTGGTAGAGGGCACAAATCCTTTTTTAAAGTATAGCCTTAGAATATAATGATTGCTAGTATGGGGACAAATCCTTCAGTCCATCTTAAGTTACCTTCACACAATGTTCACGCACGAGAGTGATTTCTTTAGATGTGAAGCAAGATCTATTCTGAGAGGTAAAGCATGAACCCAGTGTACTAAGTAAAACTAAAAGATATCTCAGTGTGTATAAATACAGGTGTGCACACGTGTCTATACGAAAGAAGTGGTGTTTGTTCTCACTCTTTTTATTGTTATCTTCTTACTGTTCCAGGCCTGAAATCAAGGTGATAGCAACCCTAAAATGGAAGTATGTCTCATAATTACTGACACATTGTTTAAAAAAATATATATGTATTTATTTTTTAAAGGGAGGGAGGAGAGGTGGAAGGATAGAGAAAAAGAGAGAAGGCAAGGCAGTGGGGGTAGAGGACCACTAAGAGTTATCTTGTGTCCTACTGATTCACTATCAGGTGCCTGAGGCTGGGTTAGGCTGAAGTCTGGAGCTCAGAACACCATTTGGGTTTTGCATGTGGGTAGCAGCAACTCAAGTATTTGAGCCATCATTGTTGCCTCCTAGGATGCACAGTAGCAGGAAGCTTGAGTTCAAAGTGGTGCTGGGACTTGAACCTGAGATTTTAACTGAAATATAGACATCCCAATTTAACCATTGCATCAAATACCTTATATTTTCTCTGTGTTTTTTCACCTGCTTAGTGGTCTTGTACTTGAAGCATGTTGCAAATGGTGAAATCATTGAGTAAATGGAATACAGAAGTGTGACTGTTTATATTTTTTAACTAATAGATGTTATATTTCTCCTTTGTGCAAACAAAGAACTAGCTCTGGGGAAACAGGTATTGAGAAATAGTTGCTAAAGTTGCTGATGTTGTAGTGGGAGAAACCGGTCGGTACATAGGCAGTGTCAATGCAGGGTGAGAGATGATGGCCCAAGGCTGGATGGCGTACAAGTATAGGGAGGGACTTACAGCTCAGCTTTGAGTATATAGTGGAGGCTAAAATATGCTGAAGAGGAAGATTTCAACATTTTTTATTATTTTTTAAACTTCATATCAGAACTAACATTGCATTTTCCCTACTTGACTGATTCTTCTTTTTCCTGTTTTTTTTTTTCTTAACAATGTGAGAAAAATTATTCACACATTAAGACACTGTAAGCTTCAGAATATTTGGGGATTTAGAAAGTTTTTATTTATTTTTTAATCCAACTGAGTGTGACAACCTGATATGGGAAGAAATGGAATTGTGGTTTGGGAAATAATTTCCAGGTATTTTAACAAAGAGTCGTTGTGAAAAAAAAAAAATGGGAAGGAAGCCAGGACCTCTTTGGAGTTGACAACTGTATTGTCTTCTGGAATAGGTTAGGGTTGCAACTATAGAGGAATAACTGACG